AGCTCCCTTCATCATGCCTTTCTGCCGTGATGTTATGCTTCACCTTGGGCCAAAGCAATGGAGTCAGGCAACCATCGACTGGACCTATACAACTATGAGCCAAAATAAACTTTCCTCCGCTAAAAAACAAACCAACAAAGGAGACGTCCAATTGGAGATGGCAAGCAGGCTGTTGAGTAAGCCAGTTTAGAGTTCAGAGGAGAATTATAGAAAACATCTGAAGTCACCCCTTATAGATGGAAAAATCTCCAATCTCCTTATCTATTATTTTTATTTATTTTTAGGTACTGGGGACTGAACCCAGGGTGTTTTTATCACTAAGCTACATCACCAGCCCTTCCTATTTTGAGACAGGGTCTTGCTAGGTTGCCCAGGCTAGTCTTGAACTTGTAATCCTCCTGCCTCAGCCTTCTGAGGTGCTGCTAGGATTACAGGCATGTGCTGCCATGCCCAGCTACATTCAGCCAGAATTTATTGAGCACCTACTGTGTGTCCAGCATTGTGCTGTGTTGGTGGCAGACCATGGATTTGGACAGAAACTATCCTTGTATGGTCTTGGAGCTTCATTACAACTTAATTAGTTCCCTGGTTTCTGAGACTGTTCTCTGACTACTGTGAAATATATAGAATCAACTCTCAAGTGTTATAAATACTAAGATGTTCTCTGACTCAGCAATTTGGAAGAGCTTAGATTTTTCGGAAAGCAAAAAGCTATATATAGATTTGGACAAATGACAAATTTACCCAATAAAATGTCTGAAGTCTACCTTAAAATGAATCAGAAGAGACTGTCTCAACCAAATTGGTGTTCATGAAGTCAACCTGGTGTAATGGAAAAGCTTGCAGGGCTGGAAGGCACTTCTGTTTTGCCCAACAAGGTCACTTGAATGACCTTGACCAAGACCTCTGCTAGTCTTGTACTTCAGTATTCTCTTCAATAAGCTGAATCCATCTGATTCAATGTTTTCTAAAGTTTTCAAACTACTGGCTTTTTTCTTTGTTTTACAGTGTTCATTTTATTGGGCTAATAATTTTTTTAAAATAAAGGCCCAAATTCCTAAGGTGATTCTTCTCTTGAGGGCCCACCTTCCACAGCAAAAGAAAGCTTATTTTTTTGCAAGTTGAAATTGCTTGTTTTTCTTTTATGATTTCTTTTTTTTCTTGGTTGTAAGAATGGCATACGATCAGTGCAGAAAATATAAATATGAAAGTGCAGAGAATAAGGTCTCTGTAAGACCACTAAGGTAACTGTCTCTCAATCACTGTATATGCAGCAAATCAGACAGCAGCAGCTAAGACACATTTGTTGAATGATTACTGTTATTATCAGGCAAAAAAAAAAAAAAAAAAAATTCTTTCTCTGGAGGTTGTTTAGCCTATAAAACAGAAGAGTTCCACAGTCAGTCATCAGAGACTGAAACTGCCAGGACAGTATCAGATGTCTCAGATTGCTTGTTTCACAATAACAGCTGATACCTGATACCTATGGAATGTCGGGAAACAACAACATTATTTGCACCATTCTGATGGTCATAAATAATATCAAGGGCGGCTCAGTTTAAGCAACATAGAGAAGGCTGCAAAGCTGTCAATGGCTCAACCAGGAGTGGCTCCTGCCGCAGTGGGAGGCTATGTCCTGCCTCGCAAGTCCTCCTCCCATGCTTGGACCCTCTCTCCCCCCATGGCACCAGGATGAGCTTTCTTAAGGCACCTGAACTCAGCTACTATCACTTCACCTTTTATTGGCAACATAGCATCCTTTAGATTATCAACTACCTTTTCAGTAAACTAAGAGTTTTCTAATTACCTCTGATAATGAATTAAAGCTAGATCCTGCCTGTAGACCCATGCTACTCTGCCTCTTACCCCAGTGGAATTAGTTGCTAATGGTGAATAACCAGAACATTCAACATATAGAATTGAGCTTTCAAGATCTTTTGAAAAACTGCTATATCCGGCATCACTGGGCCCTCAGAGCCATCAGCTGGAGTGGGGGGATATGTGTTCTCAGTTTCCCCAAACCCCACCTGGCCCATTTGTCTGACATCCTGCATCCCATTCTGTCTCATTTACCTAATTTGCTATGTCTAGCTAATTAAGTCAAGCATGTGCCCAGGGCACAACACAGCTCTTACCATGGGAGCGGCTCACAATCCACCAGGGGGACAGACTTACAAACCAGTAAATGAAAGCACAGTGAGAGTGGCAAGTGCAGCAAGAAAGCATGAACATGGCATGGTAGGGCCTCAGAGATGGCTGAGCCACTCTGTCCTGGGAAGCTGGCTGAAGGTTTCCTGGAGGTTCTGTTTAAGCTGGCTTTCAAAAGATGAACAAGAGTTCACCAGGCAGATGGAGGGATGGAAAATATTGGAAGCAGTGGGAGTGGTATACAAAGCATCCAGGGGTCTTCTGCTGATTTGCTCTGCCAGTTGCACAAATGAGCTTCTCCAGCCAGCAACTACCTTTCTCCTGATTGACATTGTGTATGAACCTCTGTCCAGGTCTTCCTATTCCTTCCTTCCATCAAAACAGAGAAGATTTACCTCTACCAGGCTGCCTGACTAATCCCCACTCACTTCGTATTATCTCAGCTAAGGCAACCTTCCCACTGTGGGATAACTGGTTACCTGAGGTGATTCTGTTATTGGGCCTCTTTGTTTTATTTTGGAATCCCTGTCATTTGAAGAATAGCCCAGTATTCCAAGCAATCAATTAAGTATTTATCAAATACCTACATTGGACAGAGAACTCTCCAAGTCATATCCACCATTTTAAGCCCAATTGAGAAGAAAACAAATTAACTAAGACCAGAGAGTATAATTCAGAAAACCTTTATTAAGTGTCTGGTATTCACAGATTTTTTTTTTTTTTTATCCTTCTACCCATCCGACATTCAATGAGTACTACTATGTGTCAAGTACTATGCTTGGCACTTGGAAATCATGCCGAGATACAATAAACATACAAGTTAGCAGGTAACATGAACAAATAAACTTATTAAAACAAATTTACTGCTAATGCAAAGTTCAAAGTACAGCAATTGCTTGGAGAAAACAGTGTTGACTATGCCCAGAGTTGGGTACACAAAAGATAAACTCTTATTGCCTCTCTTGATTTTTTGGTTGTGTGTGAGAGAGAGTGTGTGTGTTTGTTTTGATATTGGGGATTGGACCCAGGGGTACTTTACCACTGAGCCACATCCCCAGCTTTTTATATTTTGAGATAAGATCTCACTAAGTTTCTGAGGGCCTTGCTAAGTAGCTGAGGCTGTCCTCGAACTTGGAATCGTCCTGCCTCAGCCTCCCAAGTCGGTAGGATTACAGGCATGCACCACTGCACCAGGTCTTATTATTTAATATAACATTTTCAACAAACACAAAAATATAGAGCTGGGTGCAGTGGCACACACCTGTAATCCCAGCAGCTCGCGAAGCTGAGGCAGGAGGATCACAAGCTCAAAGCCAGTCTCAGCAACTTAGTGAGGCACTTACCATCTCAGTGAGACCCTGTCTCTAATAAAATATTAAAAAAGGGCTGGGGATGTGGCTCAGTGGTTAAGCACCCCTGGGTTCAATGCTCAGTAACCCCCACCCCCCAAAAAAAACCCCACAGAAACATAAAGAATAGTGCAACCCATTACCTGGCTTCAACAATTAGTAACTCATGGCCACTTTTGATTCATCTCTACTCCTACCTGCTTTCCATATCCCTTTGTTTTGAAGCAAATCCTAGACATTTTTTTCACTGCACCCATAAATACTGAACTACCTTTGAAAAAGGAATTGGAAATGTGTGAATCTTCCACTATTAACATCCTTTCCACAACCCAGTCTTCCGCAGGAAATCAGATATCTACTGCCAGTGACTCCAAGACTTGGCTGGCTCACAGTAAGGACCTAAGACTCTACTGGAGGTTTTTCCTTGGCTGAAGTCTGAGCTGAAAACAGCATTCTCCCTTGTCAGGTATGCTGCTGACCAGTCTTCTGATCCTTGGTCCTCATAAAAACTGCTAATTATTTGGAGGCTTACTGAGTACCTAATGTTTACACAAAATGGGGAGTACATTCCATAGTCCCATGTGCGTTCCATAACCTTCAGGTTAACTTCAGATGGTACGAGGCTCACCCTGCAGGGTGAGCTGACCCAGAGGTGTTTTCCTGTCACAGTCTTGATCTTCACTGCGTTGAGCATCTGATCCCATCCTATCTCCCACCTCTTCAGTGTTTCCCACTTTTCCTTTAAAAGAACTAACGTATCTGGACTTTCTATACCACACAATTTTATTCTTTTAAAGCAATACACTATTGTCCACTTACACCCTTTCACCCAGGCCACCAGTCCCTTGTCAATCACTACAGTATCTAAGCACCTACCTGCTTTTAGCACCCCCATCGCCACCCCATTCTCTACGTGGTAGCTTAGCAATCTTTATTAAAACACCAAAAAAAAAAAAAAAAAAAAAAAAAAAGCCCTTCCATAGTTCCTAACACCTACCGGATCAAGATCAACTTCCTTACCACAGCCAAGTAGGCCCTTCCAAATTTAAGGCATCCCATGTATTTCTCCAGCTTCATCTGTTCCATCTCCTCCCCGGCCCGCAACCAAAACGGGCTTTTCAGGCTCCGCTCCCTGAGCTCGATGCTCTCAGCGGGGAGCTCCTCTTCCCAGGTTCGCGATGCGCGCTGCACCTACTGCGCCCTCGCTCACACGAGTCCGCGTCTTCATTTTGAAGATGGAGAAGCTGGGGACGGGCACCTCACCCACGGCCACACTGCTAGTACGCAGAGGCCGCAGGAGCCCGGCCCTCCGGGGCACGGTCCAGCGCCCCGAGCTCTCCGGCACCGGTGCAGTTCGGGCCCGCCAGTGGCCGGGGCGGAGCCAGGCAGCTTCTGATTGGCCGCCTCCGGCGACGGGAGCAAGAGGGAAGGGCGCGAGGGCGTCGCGGAGAGATGACGCAACGCCGCGGCTCCTTAAAGGCACCGGCACCGCGCGCCGCGGATGGCGCAGGCGCGTTCCGGAGGTTCCAGCCACAGCTCGCAGCGCCAAGAGCCGGGCCAGGCGGGCGCGCGCGCGGTGTGCGGACAGGGCGCGCGCCGGACTCGGGCGGCTCGAGGGGTCGGGCCCGGCGGCCTCGGGAGCCCGACCGGCCGCTGAGCAGCGGGTGCCGCGATGGCCGAGGGCAGCGCCGTGTCGGACCCTCAGCACGCCGCACGCCTGCTGCGAGCGCTCAGCTCTTTCCGCGAGGAGTCCCGCTTCTGCGACGCGCACCTGGTCCTCGACGGGGAGGAGATCCCGGTGCAGAAGAACATCCTGGCGGCGGCCAGCCCGTACATCAGGTGAGGAGGGGTCCGCGGCCGGGGGGGGGGGGGGGGGGGGGGGGGGGGGGCGGGCGTGTCCCCGGGTCGCCGGTCCCCATCCCCGGCCGCCGGGGTCCGCGGCGGCGCCTTCAGCGCGGCGTCCTTCCCGGAGACGCCCGGCCGGGCCGCCTGGCCGCCGCGCCCCAGGACAGCTGCGTTGTGGCCCCCTCGGCCGGGCCCGCGCCCCCAGAGCTGCCCCCGGCCGGGCCGCGGCCCCTCGGCGCTCCCCCGGCCCCCGCCCCCCGGCGGCCGCTCCGCCCCGGAGGGCCCCGGAGGTCCCCCGGCCCGGCCGGACCTGCGCCCGCGAGCAGGGCGGGGCCCGCCGGGGAGAGCCGCCGCTGCGCCGGGCCCGGCCCGGCCCGGCCCAGGATCCCGGCAGAAGTTTGCCGGCCGCTCGCCTCCGGATCGACGCGCAGTGGGCTGGGCCGGCGCCGCGGGCGGACGGGGAGCGCCCTCCCCGCGGAGGAGCCACCCAAACGCCTCCCGGCCGGGGTGGACAGAAGGAAAGCTCCGGCGGGCAGCCGCCGACCCTCGGGCCGGTCGGCGAGACTTTCCCTCCTCCTCGGGAGAAGTCCGTTTGAGGGGAGGGTTGGGTGTTTCTGATGGAGGAAGCTGTTGGCGAGTTTTCCCAGACCTTTTGTAATGCTCAGGATCATTTACAGACCCAAAACCTTGATATTCTAGCGATTAATAAGAGTGCGTTTTAAAACTTCAGTAAAACAAAGCTTAACCTTATTTACCAGCTCAACCAACCAGCTTAATTAAAAGGTTAAGACAGTGCTTATACAAACGTATCAGATCGTGCAGGAGGCTGCGATCTTTTCTATTAGCAACTTTCCTGAAAACTGGATTGCTCTTTCAGTAAATGATGGGAGGGGGAATACTAAAAGCTGAAGAAAGTGCCCAGTAAGCTGGTTAAATATAGACTAATGGTAGAGAATACCTCTAGAATTGACAGGTCAGAAAAAGCAAGATGATATGTGCTGTATTCTTAGTGCTTTATCCCAGCAGAACTCAGCACACAAACTGCATTTTCACCTTTGCATTAGGAGATGTTTGTGCTAACTCAGAAGTAGTTCAAGTGCCCTCGAAATTTCTGGCTTTCTCCTATAATTATATTTGCACTCTTCCTTAGCAGATTTAAGGGGCTGGGGGAGAGTCTTTGTTAAAAGGAATTTAGGCCATCAATGTGACAGACAGCCCATAGCTGGCAATTCAGAGGTTAGAACAGTCAGTAACAAAATCATCAGACCAGGGCCTTCCCTGTATCCACAGTAGTGGTCATTGTTTGGGGAAATGCTCAGGAAAACTTTAATTGGTTATTGTTGTAGTTTTTTGAATGGCAGGTAGTCAGCTTAAAAGAAGTTGCAAATCCTGGAATACGTGGTATCTCCGTTCACTTGTCTCCATAGCACTTACTGCTGTAATATACCCTATATTTTATTCATTTACTTTGTGGATCTTTCTCAACCACAGTGTAAGCCCAGTGAGGCCAGATTTTTCTTTGGTTCATTGCTGGGCCCCTCATACCCAGAAAGAATAGTGCCTAGAGGCTTAGTAAATGTGTTGAAGCCTGTCTGCTTTTCTGTCATAGCACACTGGGCATAGAGGCTTGGCTCCATTTCCTTGTTAGCCAAGCAGACTCAAGAGTTTGAAGACCCACTCCTTGTTTCCTGTTTTTACTCATAGCTCTGAGTTGATAGATGGCTTAGTCTTGTCTTTGGTTCAGTAATCTGACAAATGAGGGATAAAATATGTCTTTCATTCAATCTTTGAGCCACCTCTGAAAAAGTGAATAATAGTGTTTTGAACACTTGCCAGGTCTGCACACAGGTCTACTGAGATAGTGATATCCGCCAGTTAGGAAAGATATTCTGTGGTCCAATTCTGTCACTTTCTTAAGTAGGAGAATAGGCACTTAATCAAGCATTTATGAGGTTTCTAGTACTTAATGGCTGAACTAGGAGTAGACTCCAAGTTCATAATGGCTGTTCTTTAACTCTTAACCATCAAGTTAGAACATTGTTTGTATTTAACTGTTGTTCATGGTGTAATTGATAGCTTATAGTATGTTATAATTTAAGTGACTATCAAGCACTCTCACATTCATTTTCAACTCTTCTTTCAACTTTTTTTTTTTTTTTTTGCAGTTGTAGATGGACAGCCTGCCTTTATTTTATTGGTTAATTGGTTTATTTGTTAATTTTTATGTGGTGCGAAGGATTGAACCCAGTGCCTCACAAGTGCTAGGCAAGTGCTCTGTCACTGACTACAGCCCTTGCCCCATCATTTTCAACCCTTTTGTGCAACTGGTAGGATAGATATTTTTAACATCTTACCAATAAACATGAATCGGTCAATATTTTTCTTCAATAACAGATGACTTTATTTGGCTGTTGAAGTGGTAAAATGTTTTGTGGTTCTTTATCAATTTCAAGGCTATTTCAAAATAATTTGAATAATCTTTATTGCTACCTAGAAACAAACTGCTTAGTAATTTTAATGCCAATGATATTTGTCTCTTATAATGTATCTATTTCGTATGGATGATACTACAGAGAATTACACTGAAACAAAATGAATTTGTATGCTTTGGAACTGGTTGGTCTTTATTGTTTCTTTTTGAAGCTTAAGCATTTAAATCTGTGATATGATTAACATATGAATTGAATATTTAAAAATCTGATAATCTCTGAAGTTTCGTAAACCTGAGTTTTGTTTAATGTCTTTAGTGAACTTCATAGTAACTCACAAGAGGTCTGAAGGTCTGAGATGTATAGTTTAGAAGCCATGTATCTATTGATTCCTGTGCTCAACAGAGGGCCAATCCAATTCTGTCATACTGAAGCAACTTTTTTTTTTTTCCTTTGACTTGTTGGGAAAACTAAATGTAGACCTAAATGGGCCTCTTAAGAATGGCAAGACTAAAAAAAAAAAGAAAGAAAGAAAGCCAAAACTGGGCTGGGGATGTGGCTCAATCCTCAGCACCACATACAAACAAAGATGTTGTGTTCGCCGAAAAAACTAAAAACTGAATATTAAAAATTCTCTCTCTCTCTCTTAAAAAAAAAAAAGAAAGAAAGAAAGAAAGCCAAAACTGACTCCATATATAAAGACAATCCTTGACCATTAGTCTTTCCTTTCTCAGCAATCCCGAGTCCTCCATGGGGCTCATAGGAAATTTCCCTTTCTTCGGAATATTGCAGTGTCTGGGGCCCCTCTGGTCCAGACCTGAGCCCATTGTTGCCCAAGTGGAGTTCAGACCCCTTCCTTTGAGCCTGGTTCCTGGGGCACAATGCATGAGGAGAAAATTGAAAGATGAACCACTCTGTACTTCTGCAGTTGACTCTATAGTGGCTCTGTACAGGTTCCTGGTCTTTTGAGATGTTAGGTTTTTCTGGGGACCTATGGCAGTATTATTTTTTTTTTATTTTTGTTATTTTTTTTAAGAGAGAGTGAGACAGAATTTTTAATATTTATTTTTTTAGTTTTCGGCGGACACAACATCTTTGTTTGTATGTGGTGCTGAGGATTGAACCTGGGCCGCACGCATGCCAGGCGAGCGCGCTACCGCTTGAGCCACATCCCCAGCCCTGTTTGTTATTTTTAGAAATACATGACAATAGAGTGTATTTTGACACAGTATACATACATGAAGTATACTTATTCTAATTAGGATCCCATTCTTGTGATTGTACGTTTTGTGGAATTCCACTGGTTGTGTATTCATATATGAACATAGGAAAGTTATGTCCGGTTCGTTCTACTGTCTTTCGGCAATATTATTTTGTTTAGCTTTCAGGGTTTTTTTAACATATAATTTTTAATTGTGGACACAGTACCTTTATTTTATTTTTATGCGGTGCTAAGAATTGAACCTAGTGGCTCACACATACTAGGCAAGCGCTCTACCTCTGAGCCACAACCCCACTCCCTAGCTTTTAGTTTTTGAGAGTAAAGGAAATAAAGATTCCCAAGATTTTCAGATCCTTTGATGAGTCAGCTAACAACACAAGTGGCTTTCCCGCCCCCACCTTCTTATTTTTTGAGAGAAAACTGGCCTACTGAAGGTGGAATGAGGCCTCAAAACCAGCAAAGATCATCTTGGACAGTTTCTCTAGGACCCAGTTTCCTTATCTGTGAAGTGAGGTCCGTACTGCTACGTGAAAAGCAAATTCCCTTTAAGCCTAGATTGCATGCTGTTTTTGTTTTGCTCCATATGTATGTATTGTAGGGAGGCGGGTCTCTTTTTAAGTCTTTATCATTATGTATTGATGTTTAAACATCTCCCTTCCCAGGACTTGGTTGGGTGTTCTGCTGTGTGAATCCCGCCCATGACACTGTGTTGTAACAAGCATTTGTTTCATGCTCTTCATCTGCTTATGTCCCAAGGCCTGATTATTGATGATCCTGTTTTGCCATTTAAATCTGAAATTTGACTCATAGATGATGTTGACGAAACCACTTAAGGACACTAATGTGGTCTCTGTTGGAGGTCCAGGTTTTAAGTAACATGGGAATTATTGTCATCCTTTTTATGGAGCTGAAATTTGTCCTGAGGATTAATATCACAGGGGTACTAAGTCCGTTGTATCATCTATTCTGTTCAGAGATCGCTTAGTCCCCAGCTCCCTTTGCTTGATTAATTTATGTGAGTGACCCGGCAGCTCCTCTCAGATTCTCTAATTCCTTGTTGGTGCTGTACATCCCCCTGAGGTGGCTATAACCATGAGGGTTCCTTGATGGCCAGGAGAGTCTGCAGGGCAGCAAAGTGACTTCAAAGAAATGCTCAGTTAATAACATTTTGTTTTCTTTTTTTTTTTAGTTTTTGGTAGACACAATATCTTTATTTTTATGTGGTGTTGAGGATTGAACCCAGTGCCCCGCGCATGCCAGGCAAGCGCTCTACCACTTGAGCCACATCCCCAGCCCTGTTTTCTTTATGATATTTTAATAATGCTTTTTTTTTTTTTTTTTAC